TTTTAACCTGCAAGTTACCTTTGTTCACCGTGCACAAGCCTACGATCCACCCCACCGAAACAAGCATAATTTTTTTCGAGAAAAGAGTTAAGCGTATTCTTAAAAGCCTTGAATTACGTTTCCGACGTGATTATGGGTCACAACGACGGCTGGGCGATGTGGCAAGGCAGATTCGACTATTTACGCCAGTTTTTTGGTGCTCTGGCTCGAACACCGCAACCAAGGAGACAGACGTCGTGCTGATTGGATTCGAGGAAGACGTGTATTGCAACTTGCAGACCGACTTCTCAATGGAAGAGCTTGTAATCTGTCAGCAGTTTGACACTTTGGGCGCGTTACTGAGCAAGAAGTAATACATCTTGGAATTTTTATAACACCACCGAGTCGCATCCATTAGAGACAAGCTGGTCTTAGCTTAATGGTGTGATAAATGGAAAATTTCACTAAATAAAATGACCTGACTGTTTATGATTCAATAAAATAGCACAAGTAATCGTCGTTATGAGATGACTGTTAAAAAATGCATTATATCAAATATACATGATGAACCATCGAGTACTATATTGATGCGTGCTGTCATCCACTCCTGGTATTTTTATTGCAAAGACGCAATTATTTTGTGCCTTGTGAAACATTTGATCTGTTTGCTTTTTCAATAAGCTTTTATCATGTAACTTTTTGTAACAACCAGAGCGCCTATGGAGGTGAATGCATACCTCATTGGTGCTAAATCGTGTGACGCTGTCGCCTAAAAAGCTGCCCACGATAGTCAAAACGTAATGGCCATCCAAATTAGACACTCCAAAATTCAGGAAATTAAATTCTTTTTTTAATAATGAAAGTCACAGATTTGTCTCCTGACAAAAGTCGAAATCAAGTTCGAAATTTGTAGTGGTATGGAAAATTTTATTTTACTTATTGATATTGAGCTGTTCGTTTGTAGCATGCAGATCAGATACAACAGCAAACAGTTTTTTCTTGTCGTGATGCTTATAGCGCCATGAGCGATTCTAGAATATGCAAGTGAGGGGCAAAGAATATTGCCGTATTTAACAAGCGCAATATTCTAACTAGGCAACAAAATACGCAGTACAAACAATCTTAATAATGACCGTTATCTAAGGCCGATGCTCGCAGCAATTGTGTCAGACGAGGGTGCTAGCATTAAATTAAAGAAATTGTCTTTGATGAAAAAAGTATAATGTTCAATGCCTTGCGAATCAATCAAATCGGTTTGGCTTTTGTGTCGAGACATCGTTAGACAATTTATTGACGGAAGTCTGTGTTACATCCATGTTGACTAGATCACTATCATAAATCAGCCATTAAGATGATCACGGCCATGATATAAATCATTACAGCTTAACCTGCTTTCTTACAAATTACAAGGCAAGATATTTGATAGAAGTTCAGGTGAGGGCGAAATACACAAACATTGAACATTTTTTCTTAATGAAATCGGACCGCAGGAAGAGATCTAGAGTATCAAATACTCAAGCTAGAGAAAAAGCAGATACGTCGCGAGATACCTTCTCGCACGTAAAACAGTTTTGAAATGCTTGTATTTAGCTGCAAGTAGCCGCAGTCGATATTTCAGTTGTCACGGACACACCGCTGATGGATATAACGTCCTGTTTCTTGTTCATCTTGGGCTGACTACCATCCAAAGACAAAGTTAACAAACCAAAGTGGAATTCAATGTCGTCCGGAACATCCGACTCATACGAATGGGTGGTCTTGTGTTCAAGGTCATTATTACCCTCGCTCATGTACATATCAATGATATGACCCTTGCCCGACGGGCCAGCCTTGAGTGCAACGCCAAAGTTGTACCATGTTCCGTACACAAACGTGGTATTCCACCTCGACACCCAACCTGGAGCCTCGAAAGTAGCACCGTTTACATAAGAGAGTATGGGTGGATCGTCCATCGCAGTCACTCGAAAATCAAAGTGATGATGTTCGTCCATAACCATCTCCCAGGCGTATGGATTCAAGAAAGGCTCTTCTTTCATCAAGCTAAAACGAAAGAAGGTTATGCCTGCTTTATTGGTCGCGATAAATTGCGCCAATTCTGTGCGACGAAAGTTAAACTGCGACTTGAAAATTGCATTTCCATCTACTCCAATTTTGAAAACACCCGTGTCACCATTGTACGCAGGGTTTCGACACTTTGGATCAATCTTCAGATAATCTTTGACCGTCAAAGCGCTGTTATTGCGCATAGTGAAGATGTGCGTCGAGTACTTGTTTGAGACCGTTTTGATGGTCACGTCTTGAGCACGGCCATCAAAAGGAAGTGGCTTGGCAACATGTTGAGTCTGAGCTACAGAATAGCTCGACAACAGGGCTACAGTGGTCATAGTTGCAGCGAAGTTGACCATGATGCTAATTTGAAGATGCCAGTCTGCGTTTTTGGAGGTAGATTGAAAAATGATTGACGAACCAAAACAAATACTCGCATGAGTCAGGCGTCACCTTCGACAACAAACAACATACCGAGGAATGGGATCGGCTTTCTCCAATAAACCTTCTGTAGATTTTTCTCAACTTTTATGATCTCTCATGTTTACGTCAAAATCTCAAGATGGGAACATTGTGTTGAAGCCGTTAACTATAGCGAAGAAGTGTCATGCTGTGCAATATCACATCGTAAGATCAAGTACTTTGGAGAAATCACAGAGTCAAAAGGAGTGAGACTATGACTCCTATGATTAACAGAACACTTTTCTCGATTCAAAGTTGAGCTTATTAAGATCATCGATTAGACAATCATGTTATTCAATGTAGCGTCAGCCTTTCCAGCAAGAACATGATGCTATTGCGTAACGTTGAAATAAATGTGCGGCAAGCAGATGTTAATCTTCTTGCTGTGACTAATGTCAGATGGTACAATCGCTTTCAGCACTCTAGCACTGGCAATTTGTGAGCAATATAAATCTAAACTTGCTGGTATCAACGATGTGTTATCTTCAAAAAGTAAAGTCATTTATCCTTATCCCTCAATATTTCATAGAATCTTGATCCTGCTCATGATGTCATCTCGTGAAGATCAAGCCTGACGCTGATCGTAAATACATTCGTAAAATGATTCACAATCGACGACATAAATATGTGGCTGCGCGAAATCGATTTTATTAATGTATGTAGATGAGTTATCTACCAGATGTCGGCATGAAAGCGTTGTGATGTATATAGTACGAAGAAGCATGCTACCGCGTTGATCAATTTTCGTCACTCCGAATATTTTCCAAAGTATGAAATCTTTTCTGCGTGCTTGGTGTGCTCGTTGTCATATCAGGCTGTATAGCACAGAACATACAATTCTTGTAGTTCAAGGGAGATACTGCAAATGTCTTTTGATATGATTATATTTGCGGATCTAGCACATGCGCAGTCAATTGAAGCTGCTAATTATTGTCAACATACCTTCAAGAATTTTCGAGGATCGAATAGACCTGTTAGAATCTGATGAAATTTTTGACTAAAAAAACTCTCGAAGAAATCAATAAATAAACTGATTCGAATGACTTTCGAGCTTGTCAGACAGAATATTGTGCTCATTTAAGATTTTTTACCTTTCACTTACATAGAGTCGCTGTTAGAAACACAGTGATTAGCTTCCAGCGCTCACGGCGTTATAAGCTCCACAACAAAAATTCGCGATCGCACCTAATTTGTTTGCAACAAAAAGAGCAGCTCAGTATCTTACATTAATAAAGGAACCATATCACTACAAAATTGGGACACGAAGCAGGGTTTGTCAAGATGTTGGATTTGAGGAGAAATCGATTTCAGTCCTCATATTCGTGGCTTTCTTGACAATGACACACATGACCAATACTTATTGAATCATCGTATCATTTGAGGTCAAGCAAGTTCTTAGGCAACAACACGTCACTCCAGTGTCGCACAACTTAGCACCTAAAGTTATTCATTCAGCACTTAGGTATATGAATACAAAAAATATGTTGTTGATATAGCATCTCAAAACATGATTAAAAGCAACTTTCTAAAATATATTCCATGGCACAATTTGATTGCTTCCAAGCATATGAGAACACCAGGAGTGACATCCATACAGTACTCGAAATTCCGAAGGAATACTTGCTCTCTCTCTAAGTTAATCTCAACAATTACTTCGTAACAATGAATTCTTGTGAAATACTGATCACTTAGATATTTCCACTAACACAATTGACAACAAATAGTTATAATCAATGTCGTAGAAATGTTTAGGAAAATGTTTTGATCAAGCTTATTACATATTTACATGCGTTAAAAAAGCTGAGGATTCTTCATGCTTCTGGTGTATGATTGCATTAGTGCAATCAACCCTTCAAAAAAACTTTACAGCAACTTTGAGTCAATACAAAGAATTCTGCTAATCGTTCAACTCGAAGTCTCGTTTTTCTTGATTCCTAACATCTTCCAAAGTAGATGAACATAAGATGTGAGCTCACAACCTGACGCTCATTCCTTCTACCTTACACCCTCCATACATTAAACTCATCATAGGATTCTAACGTCAACCTGAGAAATCTTTCAAGTAAAGACAAAATGCAGATGGACTGTTATTTGTACATGAAGGTGTCGCCTGACTCATGGGGTTCGTCAATAATGTTCCAATTCATGACGGTCAACGATTGTGTGACGATTGATCCAAAGTGTCGAAACCCTGCGTACAATGGTGACACGGGCTTCTTCAAAATTGGAATAGATGGAAATGCAATTTTCAAGTCGCAGTTTAACTTGTCACACAGAATTGGCGCAATTTATCGCGACCAATAAAGCAGGCATAACCTTCTTTCGCTTCAGCTTAAT